CCATAGTTGTGCCTCCTAGTTAGTGAGGACTCATTATTTGTTCAGGCGAATAAGCCTCTCCTGGTTATCTGTAGCTAAATGGCATTTAACATGCCAACTCTAGTGTTTTGTCTGAAACACGTGACAACCCCTTTGTGGGGTCAAAACTAGGTAGTTTCAAAAGAACATCTGAAAATATGTAAATGTATGAGATATGTGGAAGAAATGTTGAATAAATGCCATTAAGGTTGACACAAAAACACAATTTACCTTAAATTTGAGTCAAACAGTTGTAGGATTTGTGCAGCTTATGCCGGTAGAGTTTTCAATCAAACTTTTTTTTGCTCTTGCACTTTCTGGAGCAACCTGCCAAAATGAGTTTTACAGAATTATATAGGAGCTGGCAATTTTGTCACAACAGTATATATACTCACATAGTCACATACTGTATCCCACTGCTGAAGAAACGGTGCTCAGGAAAAGTCAAAGTAAAGTTACAGTAGATTACTGACTGCTCCAAAGCAGAACCAGCCTGTATCTATCAGAACCAGACTATCAGACATCAGCATTCTTGCAGTGCACAAGTTGTTCAGTAGATCTATGACTGTGATCATTTAGGTTTGCTGTACCAGCTGTAGATAGGCACATACTGTATATTCAGATCTCCAGCGAGTAGTAAAAATTAAATTAAAATCATGTTGTGCACTGACCTTTACAAGAAAGAACTTGAACTGATTCTTGTGGGAGTATGTACTGTGATTAATATACTGCACTGATAAATCCAAAATATGCTGGAATGGAGTGGAATAAACCTGCTGTAAAGACAATAAATGGAAAATGAAATGAGGAATATATACTGTAAAATGATCCTGATTACCATAGTTTTTGAGTGAGCAGCACATAACATACTACACTACTACCATAATGCTCCATCAACCAGCTTTACAGTATAGAACAAAGGGAACTTGTAATGGCTCAAAGGACAAAGGACTCAAAGGAAATTAAAGTAATTTATTAAGGCTTACATTGTGCTAAACTCAGTGGAGGGTATTGATATTAAGAAGGTGCAGAATAAATTACCTCATGGAGTGCTCATACTTTCCTACCTGGGTTTTGTTAGTTGAGCAGGAAAGGATCAGTCTTCTTAGTCACAATAACATCCACAGATAAGACCAGACATTTCCTCCTGAAACTGTTGGTCAGCAGAGTTGAGTGCTGTTTGGATGCTGTGCAGTGATAAATGATCCACTCTGGTCTCACCAAAAACCCAGCTAAAGCTATTTTAAGACAGTGTTCCACCATTTCTGAAAAGAGGTTGTGTGAAAATCCTTCTAGTGAGTTTTTTCAGCATTAACCTCATACCCTAATTCCTAATTCCCATTCCTAATTCAAACCGTGCAGCAACCTAGAGTAAGACACTGATAACATTTAAACCAGTTATCCTAGAGTGCTTCATCGGGATGCGTTTAACTAGTAGTTAAACAGCTGAGCTGCTTATACTGTAGCTGTAAGTGCCGAACTTGAACTGCAGTAGTGGGTCCCTTAATTGCACCGAGTGTCTGACTGAACTTGATAAGTCAGCTGTGTGACTCTGCTTCTTTCTCACAGATACATCCCACAGCTGCATGAAATTGCTGAGGTGTTTTGGTGATACAAGAGCCCAAGTATTTTTCTCACGCTGTGCTCCACAGACCTGGGCTGGGAGTCTGAGCTCAGTTTCGACTGGGGACGAGACCATCACCAGCTGCCTTATTGGTCTGGGCCACCCTGGGACCAAAGCACCCATTGCTTACAGAAAAGAATCCAGTTGCTTTCTGTCTTTCTGCTTCTCCTCCTTCAGCGTTTGCTCATTGATTGTTCACGGAGGGGATGAGACACTGGAATTTCTGAAACTGTAGTGTAAACAACAGCTGGACAAGCTGGGAAGCGTATCAGGCACGGCCTCTAATGACAGCAGTTGTTCAAAAGTTCTGTTAGATCCCGTGGAGACATGTGAGCAAGACAAAGCAAAGAAAAAAAACGCCATGAAAACAAATTCCAGCCCCTCCAATCTGCCCCAGTTCAGCTGCTGAGCGGTATAATCAAATTAGTAATCAAGCTGTCAGTCAATCAATGCACTACGTGTCTGTACTGTAATGGGATAGATTGGAAGAAGTAAGATAAGATCAGATCACTTTATTGGCCATATACAATTTCTCATATTAGGAATTTGTCTTTTTGCATACCCCAGCTTGCTCTCCATGAAACACACAGCCGGGGAGAGGGAAGCTTGGGGTCAGAGCGCAGGGTCAGCCATTTATACGGCGCCCCTGGAGCAACTGGGGTTAAGAGCCTTGCTCGGGGGCCAAACGGAGTAGGATAGCTCTCTGCTGGCCGTGGGATACAAACCGGCAACCTTCCAGCCGCAGGTGCAGATCTTGAGCCACAGAGCCACCGCTCTGCCCAAGTGATTTTTGGCCAACAGGGTAAATGTTAGTAAACTGAGTGTATTTGGGAATACTAGCCCCAGTAAATACAGATGCTACCAGAGCCTGCTGCTCTGTCTAGCCTGCTCAGATCTCAGCTCTCAGTCTGCATTGCTGGGCTGGTTTTCTCTCAACTGTTATGAAGACCGGACTTGGACACAGTCAGCACAGTCTTTTTTAAAGTTTAGCAGACTATTTGACGGGGTTATTGCATGGGTTTAGTCAAGATCTAATTTGAGATCCAGCCCTACCTCGTTCTACCTCATTCCCCACACCTGTCCCTTATTCCAGCCCCTCTTTAGTTCCACCTTAAAAGCCAGGCGTAGACGTCACCCGAGGTTCCTCATTGAATCTCGTTTCGTGAGAATCCGGGGTCCTGCTGCGTCTGGCTCCGTTATGCTTTTAACCCTTCGTTCCTGATTCCCCCCCACTGGTTCCAACCCGGTTCCTGTTCCTTACTCCCCCCGGATGGATCGCCTGGCCATGGACTTTTGCCTCTGTTTTTGATTACCTGTTTGGCTATATGGATTGTTCGCCCCGGACTCACTTCCCCTGGACACCTGCACTCCTTGGACACACCCCCTGTCTCCATCCCTTCTCCTGCATGATTTTATTCCTACTGTGTTTTCACCAACCGGATCGTGTCGTCATCATAGGGCCCGGAAAGAACTGACAATATTAGATTATTAGATACTGTGCTTGTAGCTTCAAAGCACTGTGATTTGCAGAATAACTGCTGAAACATTCTCCAAGTGTGTGCACCTTGAGATTTGCAGTTGGAAAAACAGTTCCTTTGTCAGTTTTGTTGCCTGTTAGGACACACAATATAGGCCTTCTAAGGTTATGTGCAATTGGATACAGGGCTCTGAATCGCCGTCTTTCCCGATCTCTGTGATAGGAAGCTCTTGCACAAAGGTGGGATTGAGGGATTGCGCTGTGCCCTCGACGGCTGGAGAGCTGACACGAAGAATATGTGGTGGGCAGCCACCTCTCTTCCCCCTCCTTTGAGCTCCATCTTTGTTTTCATCCCCCCTGGCAGAGTGCCACACTTGGCATTTCCAGTAAGCACGGTACGCCAGTTCGCATTTCCCCCGAACTCCATCACGGCAAAGTGTCCCATTTAAATGACTCCAGCTAATAAATGACTTGATCTCTCCCCCAAATCCTTTCTCCCCTGACTGAGCAGCCTGTGATAACAATCCAGGGCCCTTTTGAAAAGGAAAAGGCTGACTAGCGACATTCTTTTGGCTGGAGCCAACCAGCCAACTGTGTGATGAGCTCTTTCTCCCAGTCTTTGTCTCACTCCCTCCCTCTCCCTCTCTCTCTCTCTCAGCGCGGTGGCCTCGATAGAGGAGCGTTTCTGTCACGGCTTCACTTCTCATGGCGCTAAATTTAGTAGAGAGGTGGAAAATCCAGGAGTGAAAAAAAAGGCTTTTGAAAAAGATTGTCTTTAATATGAATGCTAATAGATTCTCATTGTCAAGGACACCGGAGGAGCATTTTTTCGAAAAGTAGTGTCACCTGTGCGTTACAGTATACCCATGGTGTTTTGGGCAGCTTTTGTGAAAATGTTATGTAAATCCGCACTTTTCACTGACATTTTGAAAATAAGTCGTCTGCACAGAGCAGACTGTTTGAGGAACCGATTCTTGTGAGTCACATTTCACATCGAGCACTTTGTGACGGTATAGCAGGAATTCATTAGTGGGGGACACGATTTGGGTTTTTAGCACTACGCACAACATTGCTGATCGAACCAATGGATCACGGTGTCATCCCTAACTTTAAATGCATGAACTGTGTGTGGAAAAAGCCTACCCTGAAGCCAGGAAAAGGAAGTAGGTTTTGACGAGACCAGAATCCTTAAGGAGTTGGCGATGCAATCTGTTTCTATGTATTGTTTTTACGGGTTATACAGTAGACACCTTAAATGTACATACAGTACATATACGAACTTTATGTTGAGAATATACAGTATCTCAAGCTAATTATATTATTGTTTATGAATAATTCCCCTTTTCCCAAGTCATTTAGCTCTAAGTTGCATGTAACCTGTATTTATAATGCGACTCTTAGTACAGTATTTGATTATCTACAACTGAAAAACACACTCATTCTAATGTACTATGATCCCAAACCCTTCATATTTACATTGTTCTTAAGTGGACAAATCCCCCTTTATATGTGATTGAACTGTATGTCACGACTTTCGTGTCCCTAATCCAGGCTTATATCACTAACTGAACAGTGATGATAATTTATTGGCTGCGCAATATAGTCTATGTTCCTTAAGGTTGCTAATTAGGATGTGGGATCATATTTAATTCAGAGCTGTGAAACCAGTAAGATAAGTTCGCTGTTGTAAACTTGCTGAAATTGGTGATTTTTCCAACACTTGTCATAAAAAATTCAAGATGTGTACAGTTTTGCATTTCTCCTTGCCCGTTATTTTACGTCATGTGGCAGCCCTCCATCTCCACAGTTTTGCCTCTATATCCCACCCTCCCACGTGCCTCTGGACCTGAAATACTCTTAAAATGCTTGCTTTTTTCCCAGCTGGCTCAGGGTTCGAAGGTGTGGGGTGAGGTGTCCCTGCCTGAAGATTTGGAGCCCAAGAGGGGAGGCAAGCAGTGGGACCGCCTTCTGGCCGAATCGGACGACGAAGACTTTGCCGCAGACGAACCTTCGGGAGGTAGAAAACCGTTTTTTCACAGTGGCCTCGTGACGGTCGTCCGTTTAAGAGAAAAGAGGTGTTTTGTTTTTGGCGAAAGCGGAGTTCTCCTGCCTTGCCACAGCGGTTTGAAGTGATGCATGTCAGATTTAAAAAAAAAGGTCAAATATTGCTTATATTGACAAATAATCCACTGTCCTCCATTTTAAATTGTCCGCATTCATACAGATGTGGGGCGTCTGATCAGACTGTGCTTCTGCAGCATTTTCATGTGAAGTCCAGTGTTCTTTTTCACTGTTTTGGTATGAAATTAGAAAGGCCAAGCTAAAATACTGTTTTTTTTTAAGCAGTGAAACCAATGAATAAAGGGAGCAGGTTCCTACTTCCCAATAAACATATCTCAGTCCTTCTTTTTTTCTTATCAAGGAGTTTTGTGGGCCTTGTGCTGAGGCAAAATCTGCTTCATTTTTGTTTCAGTACACATTCTATGGTTTTATAATGTTCAAAGATCCAAAGTTTAAGTTTGCATAGGATCCTCGCCTATCAATTTTTATAAGTAAATCTGCAATGACAGTTGGGTTAATTAGAGAGTTTCTCCTGAAACAATTTCAGAATTTCAGTTCTGTTTTCAGAGCAAGAAAAAGACACTGGCTGGCAACTTCTGTCATTTGACTTGTCATTGTCCTGAAGGCATTACAATGAAGGCCGCAGAGTGCTGCTTGGGTCCTGCTGTGACAACGTGTGCTCTTCCCTATGTGTATTTGCAGATGAGCCCAGTGGAGAGGAAGATGGTAGCACCCCTGAACCCTCTATCGTCTCTACTGCGAGAGCTACTAGTAAGTGTCTTTGTCTCTACAGGCTTCTCAGCTCTTGAATCAATGGATGGACGATGTTCAAGAACCTGTTTCACAGGGGACAGAAAGAGTGGCTCCTAACAAAAAGCAAAAAAAGAAACTGCAACTAAGATAAATAATAATAATCCTGCATCATTTAGCAAACAGCACGAACATGAGAGTGGGTTGTGTTGTACAGTCCCTTATAAAAGCTCTTAGTGTTAGGTTTAACTCAGGTTTTTAATAGGTGGCAGCTTGTCATTTTGTAAATTGCACACTATTAAATTAGAAATTTCTGGCACTAGCACCATTTTATGGGATTACAGGAAAAAGTACACCTTTACCTAATGAGGCAAGGTATTAAAAATACTATTATACATATATCCCTGTGACAGGTTTGAGCCCGTCACATGTAGAATTATAGCTAAACTATTTAAATGCGTCAGAGCTGACCTCTCTGCTGAGCTAGATTGACCAGATCATTCTGCTGAAAAGTTTTAGTATATAAAGAAATCTCAAAAGAATTACATATGGTGTCCACTTATATCTTGAACGCTTAATTGATTCATTAATTTAATATTATCAATTTAACAATAATTTTAAATTTGATTTCATTATTAATTATGTTCTGTATTTAACCTTTTGTAATCACTTTTATTTTTTTATTTATTCTTTGCATTTAGCCTTAAGTGGCAGGCTTCAAACAACAAAATACTAAAACTAATATGCTAATCTCAGAAGTCCCTGTAGGGACCATTTCATTTTTTTTCATATTTTAATTGGGTTATTGAATCTACTGAATGCGTCCGCAGATGGTCCTTACATTAAAGTATTCAAAACATAGCTGTACCTCACAGGGTATGAAGGAAACATTGTCTTCCTGTTTTCTCTTTTGTCTGTATGTTACCTGCCAAGTGTTATCCTATTTTAAGTCTGTTTATATTCAATCTGTGCTGTAGCTTCCTGGAAATTATTAACAGTATATATTCTCAGCTATTTTTTCCTGTTATTAAAGTCAACAAAGCCTGCCATTTTGTTAGATCAAGGACAACTAAGTCAATCACTTCTTTTGTGAAATATAGTATTTAATGGGTGAAAAATATAAATAACCAGTCTAGGCCTAATAGGCTGTTTTTTGGGTACTGTAGGTAAATCTACATAAATTTCTAAATAATTAACAAGCATTTATTTCAGGAAGAACTTATTTTCCATGATCTTTCACAGTGCTTCCTATAATATGAGACACGTTGATGCTGTTGTGTTGATTATACTGCTGTTTGCATTCCACCCCTATAAAAAAACAGATCTCCCTCCTTCCATACCAAAGTCTAGCAGAAAGTTTGAATTTGAATCTTTTTGTGGCCTTTTCCCCCTAATGCTGTCTATGCTTCTCCTTGTAGAAAATTCTGATTCATGTTGCATCCATTGGATAGCTGAAATGTCCAAGACAAGATCCTTCCTTGTTCTTTGAGCCCCTGAACTTCCAACAGTACGGATAATTCCCTCTATCCATCCATTTTAAAACCATTCAACTTCTTCTGGCATGAGAGCCTATCGCAGACAAGGCAGGGTACACCCTGGGCAGGATGCCCGTTCATCACTGGGCGCACGCAGACACAAACACACACACGCACACTAGGGCCAGTTTTCCCAGAAACCAATTAATAATAATAATAATAATTGCTTACACTTATATAGTGCTTTTCTGGACACTCCACTCAAAGCGCTTTACAGATAATCGCGTCTCCCCTCCACCACCACCAGTGTGCAGCCCCACTTGGATGATGTGACGGCAGCCATAGTGCGCCAGAACGCTCACCACACACCAGGTCTCAGTGGGGAGGAGAGCAGAGAGAATGAATCCATATCTATCTATCCATTCATAGATGGGGATTATTAGGAGGCCACGATTGGTAAGGGCCAATGGGAAATTTGGCCAGGACGCCGGGGTTACACCCCGACTCTTTTCAAGAAACGCCCTGGTATTTTTAATGACCACAGACAGTCAGGACCTCAGTTTTACGTCTCATCCGAAGGACGGCGCCTGTTTACACTATAGTGTCTCCTTCACTATACTGGGGCATTAGGACCCACATAGACTGCAGGGCGAGTGCCCCCTGCTGGCCCCACTAACACCTCTTCCAGCAGCAACCTTAGTTTTTCCCAGTACCATCCAGGTACTGACCAGGCTCACACCTGCTTAGCTTCAGTGGGATGCCAGTTGTGAGTTGCAGGGTGATATGGCTGCTGGCTTTTAACTGACTCGTACTGTATGTGTTTGGACTGTGGGAGGAAACCCACACAAACACAGGGAGAACATACAAGCTCCACACAGACAGCACCCCAGCTCCAGAGTGGAGCTCACGGCCTCCACGCTGCGAGGTAGCAGCACTAACCACCATCCTGCTTTGCCGCCAGGGGCTGGTTCCATCAGGGTGGAATAATTGTTTTCCCTGGAATGCCCTAGAAATGCTGGGGTTAAGCAATCGGCATCTAGCTCCGGAATTAAAAATAGTACTGCAGTAATATTAGACCCTGATATCCTAAATACTGTATGTGTGTTTGGTATGGGCTCATTTTTGTGTTTTTCCTTCCTCCTGCTGAAATGTCATGAACTTTCATATGGGTTTGTATGTTACAATATCTTCTTTTCTGGAGGGATCTGGGATGCACAGATCTGATTGTGGACTTCATCTGGAAAACCGGGCTTCATTTGAAAGACCACTGCTCATTTTGACAGGCCTTTTCAGCTTTTGGCTTCTAACTTCCTTGGAAGTCATGATTTTACTATTACTTTTGGCTTTCAAATGAGAACTTAATAATTGCATTTTTCAAATGATTGTTTTGTGCCGTTTGACTGTGATACAGCATGCACAATAATATCTGCTAAAATTTCCACACCTAATCGGGCTGCTCTGTTTCTCTCAGTGCTGTGCACAGTATCCACTTCGGACAACCAAATCAGAAGAGTTTTTATTTTGTCTCGCGCGCTGGTCGAGTAATTCTTCACCTTATTCAATGAGACAGCGCATATTGTGTCTTGCACTATGTTTTCAGTTTGTGTCTAAAACATTGTGTTTAGTTGAGACTAAATTTATGTACACATTTTGTGTTAAGGACACAGACTAAAAGCATTTTAGAATGTGGCAATAAGCCGACTTGTAGGTCTAATGGAAATGAACCACATTCCATCTGAAATAACTCTGGGAAAGACCCAGTTGAACTTTGTATTTGGAAATATGCTGAGTTGGAATATTGCCTTGGCAGTGATTAGCATTGCTGGTGCTGGTGCATTGGGTTTAATTCTGGACCTGTAGTGCTATCTGTGTTGAGTTTGTATGTTCCATATTCACATGGTACTCTGGTTTGCTCCCGCTGTCCAAAGGCATGGTGTCCGTTAATTGACTATTGGGAAAACTGGCCCTGGTGTGAGTGTGTGTCTGTGTGTGTGCGCCCTGTGATCCACTGGCTTGCCAGGATAGACTCCGGCTCTCTCATGACTCAGAACTGGTTTAACCCAATTAACCAATTTTGCCGCAAATAGAAGGATGTTATTGTGTTCAAAGTTGCCCGCATGTTGAGATAAGCTGATAATTGTCCAAACCAATGGTTCTTAAAGGTATTTTTAGAAAGTAAATCCTTGAAAACAAATTAAGCACCGGCACATAAAAACAGCTATTTTGTTTAGTCAAACCTAGGTATTTTAAGGTAAACTTAAAGGGTTTAATTTTTTCATGTAATCTCAATTTTTCTGTAAAATGAACAGAGATAATTCTCTATCTTTCCTTCTATGGTTACGATATATCTTAATTTCGAAGAACTGAATTTTTCAGTGGTTTTGATAGGGGGTGTAAGAAAAGATTTGGGAGAGCCAACGCAGATCTGATGCAGTAATAATCACTGGTCTGAACCTTAGCAGTTGATACCATAAACCGCTGTAGAGACTGCAGATCTTCAGAAACGTATGACTTAAGACTTTGATGAAACTTTATTTTTGTTCCCTAGAACTAAAGCCCACATTCTACTGGTCAAATGCTCCGTCATTGCTCACAAAATGAAAACCTGTGCAATTAAGTAATGATAGGGTTCTTTAATTCAATCCGATAAGAACTGAGTCATTCGTTATCCCTATATAAAACTGTATGTAGTTTAACCTGAGTACAGTTTAGCCAGCAGTCATATCACGCTTGAACTCACAGCTGGCAGCCCACTGAAGCTCAGCAGGTGGGAGCCTGGTCGGTAAACTAGGGCTGCTGCTGGAAGAGGTATTAGAATGGTCTGTGTGGATCCTAATGGCCCAGTGTTGTGATAGGGACACTATACTGTACAATAAAAGGTGCTGTCCTTTGGATAAGATGTAATACTGAGGTCCTGACTCTCCACGGTCATTAAAAATCTCAGGGTGTTTAGAGTAGAGGTGTTACCCCGGCATCCTGGCCAAATTTCCCCCCGGCCTTTACCGATCATGGCCCCTTAATATTCCCCGCTCTGAACTGGCTTCATCACTCTGCTCTCCTCCCCACTGAGAGCTGGTGTGTGGGGAGCGTTCTGGCACACTGTCGCATCATCCAGGTGGGGCTGCACACTGGTGGTGGTGGAGGGGATTCCCATTACCTGTAAAGCGCTTTGAGTGGAGTGTCCAGAAAAGCGCTATATAAGTGTAAGGGATATTTAACTATTATTATTTATACATCGCTGTATCACCTACCCTTGAAAATGCTCTATACCAAACAAATAATTCCATGCTAAACGTGGTGGATTTTAACTTTCCAAATTTCTTTATCTGATATTTTTAAGGATTCATATTTTGTATTTAAATATTGTTATTTTGTTAATAATCTTGAGGAATTGTAATTGGTAGTAGTAGTATTAACACTTTTGACTGTTTTATGGTAATATATGTGACCGTTAGGTCCTGTCGGTTAAAATAAACAGCAGGTCATTTTCAGAGACCGTGCGGAGGAATTTGTCGCTGTGCGTTAGCAGGTTATTACAGTAAATGC